GTCCATGTACCATATTTGATTTTACAATTTGAAAAAGTCGAGGACACTGGTCCTCATCTGGAATTTCTGCCTTAACTATATGGTCAATGTCATCTTCTGAATGCAATTTGGACTCACTATCTAATATCAATAATATGTGAGCATGAGGCAGTCTGCATTTCTGAAATTCAATGACATGAATTTTAGTTATTACTTTGCCAAATAAATCGAATTTACATATATCATTTGGTCTTCAGAGATATTCTGTCACAGATGCCGGCCTGGAGGAATTGGGCTCCCTTTTCCCTCCTGTCAGGGTCCCTGGTGGGACCAATCAGGGGTGGGGCTGGCCAAGGAGAGGGGCCACGGGAGTTTGGGGGGCTGATTGGCTGCTGGTGAGTGCCCGGCGGGGTGGACGGGGGCTTAGAAGGAGTTGTGAGCTAAAGGCCGCAAGGGTGCACTTCTGGTCTTTGTGGCTCACCGCTTAGGTTGGTGGCCTGCTCTCTGGCCACTGCTGGCTTTGCGGTCAGGGACGCGGGCCCCGAGGTGGAAGGAGGCAGGGAGGGAGTTTGACCCCTTCGGAGGCATGGGGAGGTAGAGCCCGCTCCTTGGCCAGCCCATCCCTGAGCAGCATCTGCTGGTGACCTGGGAATGCACATGAGGCCGGCACTCAAGTCCCTGCCTCCAGCGGGAAGGGCACTTGCTCCCCACAGTCCGACCTTACAAATGCTGTGGTTGAACCGGAATATAAAAGTAGAAAGGCCAATGTGGCCGAGCTGAATAAACCTCTACGGGAGGCAACCAGCAGGGCAATTGTGGACAGGGGGACTGGTGCCACCAGTGAGCAGCCGGCCCTGCACCCTGATCGCCCTGCTGGCGAAGGCCAGTGTGGCCGAGCTGAATAAACCTCTATGGGAGGCAACCAGAAGGGCAATTGTGGACAGGGGGACTGGTGCCGCCGGTGAGCAGCCGGCCCTGCACCCTGATCGTTCCGCTGGACACCGCCAGCCCCCCCACATCACCCCGCCACCACTGCCGGTCTGCCCTGCTGCCGGTCACCTCCCTCTGCCCATTGGCACCCACCTTGGCTAGCCTGGTGCTGCCCTCTCGCTGCCCCTGTCCCCCGCTGACCAGTGGTTCTGTCGTTCAGTCGATTTACATATTAGGCTTTTATTATATAGAAAGATGAATGCTTAAATCTATATTCTATATTTCATGTCAATTTATAAAGAAGTCACTAATAAGAAAGGCTTCTTTCATATAAACAAAAAATATATACTAAACTTAGATTATCTATGAAGGACTCTCCCAAGCATTTGGGTTATGAAAGCAGCAGAGATGGGTGGGAGAATAATTCCTGTTCTCAGAGAGTTTAAAGCATATAAAGAGATAAATAGCCAAGCAGGCAATTACAATATACTTTGATTAGTATGATAATATGTGTAGTATAAGGAATTATGAGAGCACATTGGAGGGGTACCTAAGATAACTTTTGGAAGTGAGGAATGCTGACAGAAGGAGTAATAGTAAACTGATGATACCAGAGGGGTAAATAGAAGTTACCCAGATAAAGGGATGAAATTAGGATGTGTCTGGATACACAGTCAGCATGATAAGTGTGGAGAACTGGAAATAGTGTAATATATCTGCAGCATGGTTCAGGAAAAAAGGAAAGGGGTGTAGCTGGAGATATGAGGGACCAGGATCATGAAGGGCCATATGAACTGTTCCAACAAAGTTGGACTTTACATTGAGATAGTTGAAAAGGCACAGAAAAAGCCAAAACAGAAGAGTCAAATAGTAACTATTGCGATACAAAATTAAAAGGGACAGCATGGAGTAAAAGCAGT